ATACAGACATTCTAACAAGTACAAGACACTCTGTGGGGATTCAGGACAACGTGAGCAATCTACCTGAGTGACTGGGGAGAAGAAATAAATGTTTACATCTCCAAAAAACGACAGAATTACAAAAATCCAGCTCAGCTCTTGTTTCTGACAGAATTCACTGCACTCCACAGAAGGCCCTGCACAGCCCCTTTGTCATCTGGCCATGGCATCCAAGGACAGAGACCACCTGCCCATCCAGACCACATCACAAACCCAAGCCCAAGAATAAGGGGTTTCAAAACCCTGATCCTCCACTGCCCGAGAAGACCTGGGTTGATCAGCCAAGATTCAGACTCTGCAACTTGTCCACTTGACCATCTAATGCCAGAGGGAAGCAAATTCTAGGAGCAGCTTACACTGGACAAGGGATCTACGTCAAGGCTGGATGAATGAGATGCCCAAAGAGTGGCTGTAGACCATAAAAAGAAATCCCTCACACCATCTGTAAGGACTTCACAGGACTCTGCACACAGACAATACCAGATCACGCTACACAGCTACGCCTGATGCCACGAGCGGGAAATACTTCCTCTCTTACTCTACCCAGACCTGCAAATGCAGGGGAATCCAAAAAGAAAAACAAAACAAGCAAACAAACAAACAAACAAAAAAATCATAGGGAAAAGGTCTGACCTTGCTGCTCTTTACAGCCCAGTGGGGAAGGAAGGGTGACAGGAAAGGAAGAATCCTGAGTTCTGCCAGTGTGTCCAGTTCACATTCTTTTGAAAAAAAAAACCCAACTTCAAAGTCTACCCAATACTTAAAATAAGACAGGAAGTAGTGGGACTAACCTGGAGTTTACAGGCAGAAGGAGAGGAGGGAACAAACAAACCCCTGATTTTCAAGGTCCATCATTTGCTTTGGAATAAGATCTCTCCCTGTTACTCTGGCTCAGGCTTATCAGCCAAGGGACGCAGACACCCCACCCACAGTTAACTTAATTGGAATCAGACACACAAATCCACTGGTTAGCTCTAAAAAAAAAAAAAAAAATTCCAGGTTGGCCTGGGTGTTATTCCAAAAGGGCATGCCCTCCATTTGCTGCTCTGGAATACCAGCTTCACATGGCTTTAACCAGCAGCAACTCCCATGAAAGGGGAGTTGTTGACACTGTTTCTTCCCTAGAAGAAGGACCAGATGTGCAGAACTGCACCACTTACAGCCCACGTGCCCAGCCAGACAGGAAACCAGCCAGGCCACAGACAAGGTCCACACAGTGTGCACAGCCCCTGCCTGACTGACCGGGGCACTGAGGGGCCAGGGCTGTGCTCAGCTCTGCACCCACCTCTGGGAGAACACAACACATCTAGCAAAGACCTCGGGGTTCAGCATCACCAGCCCATCACCAAACAAAAAGCTTCCCTCACCAAATAAAGTTCTTTTGATGTTTTGTGACCAAACTGTCACCAGCATTCTGTACCCAACCCACAGACTAGATCCCAAATTAAAATATGCAATAACCACCTTTACTCTGGGCCATCAGCAGACAGGACAGCAGACATCCAGCACCCAGTGCCAGCCCATGCCAGTGAGCCACAGCAGCAGCTCCAGCAGCAGCAGTTACCCTGCCCTTTCTATTCCTCTCATTCCTGAAGAGGAAGGATACATCCCACAGCCAGCAGGGCACATACTCAGTGCCCTTGGACACCATCAATGTTACTACAAGTAGGTCCAGCTCGTTGAACTGGGAGCAATTCCCAACCATGTGCTTTCTGCCCCTCCAATAAGTGCTGGAAGAACAAGCAGCTCCATCCCATCCTGGAGGAACCTGAACACAAAACACAACTCGGTGGGCAGCCTCACTAACTGCAAACTTTGACTGAAGTTTTACCTGCTCCTGTTTCATACAGGGCTCTGCACAACAAAGCATCTAAGTTTCTGCACCAGTAAGTCACACAAAGATATTTTCATGGCCAAGGAGCTTCTCTGTGGACAGAGGCTGCTGTCCTTTTGCTCTTCAGGTTTGTTTTGGTTTTTAAATAAATCCCTAAGGCAGAGGGGTGAGGGAGGAAATTGCTTACATGTGAAAATATCTAATGAACATGCTAAGTCAAAGATTCTCCAACCTAATAGAGCAGGTAATATCAGAACTGGCAGGCTATGTATAGTAAAAAGACAAACTATTAATAGTCTTCAGTATTCAAAAGGGGGTACAAAACTACTGCCACCCCATCGCTGCTGCTTTTTAAGGATTTTTTAAGTCAGCAGAGTTATAAATGATCTACTGTTACAGAGTGCCTTCCAGCACTTGGAAACAAGACAGATTTTTATCAAGGAACAGCAGCCGCAGGAGTACACTCTTTTCATCTCGCTGCTAGCCATACACCAGAGCCCCAATGAGTTAAACCCTGCAGCAAATTTCCTAAAACAATGGCTTCAAGTCGTCCTGGACTTCCCAAGGAGAGCAGGATTACACATCATGGCATAATCCACTGGAGGCAATCAGCAGGATTTTCCGAGAGGGTCATTCTAAGAAAATCAGGGAAGAATGCTCGGCTGTTACAACCTGCCACTGCTTGCTCAGGAACCAATTTGCATCACCAGAGAGGTGTCAAACCATGGAGATGCAGTTTAAAAAGCCCAAAAGAAAGCTTTTACTGGGCTGTGGTTTGAAAGGGGCAAGGAGCAATTCCCGTGGATGAGGAGGGGGAAGGAACACGCACAAGTGGGTGAGTGTGACCCCGCAGACCACCACGGGCACTGGACCTGGCAAGGGCAGAGCCAGTGCACATGAGCCCACTGAAGAGTTAATCATGCTGAGGAGGGTCAAAAGGGCTCCTGAAGGAAGGAGATGGATGGAGGGAGGGAGGGAAGCAGAATGGGGAATGCACCCCCAGCCCTGCTCCCACCTCAGCACCCGTCACTGCCAGGAAAGTCACAAAAAAACAAATCCCCATTTTGCTAAAAGGAAGATTACTTGGTGTGGGGGGAAAAAACCCCAAACAAATTCTCCCCTTGCACCTAGAGAGAGACAGAGACGTTTCATTAAATGCCATTAATCTCCACAGACCCAAGCATTAGCTAGTTAATTAGACTAAAGTACAGTCACATTTTAACGCTGAGCATTTGCTATTCAACTGGGATAAATGAACAGCTAAAGTCCAAAACCTTAATTCAATATCTAATTAAAAAACAAAAACCAAAATATCCAGATTATGAAATGCTGGCCAGAATGACACGTCATAATAGATGTAAAATCTGTTCTTTATTGCATCTGCTTTTCTCCAGTTTCCAAATAGGGCTGGTTTCAATCTTCAGATTTTTTTCAAATGCCCCATAGACATCCCGACACTTAGAAAGGACAAGTGTGTAAAAAGCAGCAACAGACACTGCTGACCTCTCCAGAGAGAGCAAGATCCTGCCAGGAGTGGCATCCAGCCTACGTTCCAGCATTTGCCCCACACTCGAAAGATGTCTGTTACCAAACACCAAGGGGAAAAAAAACACCCTATGCAGAGGAAAACAAAATCCCCTTTGTAAAAACAACCTGATTTTGCATTCTTTAACCCGAAAATTTAACTCACTAATATCTTCCACGTAAGACATGCCCTGGTTTTTTTAATTGTTAGAGAAGAATCACATGGGACAGCTTAACAGCTCTGTTGTAAGCTTTATAAACTTCTCCAAATAACACTGTAGAAACAGATAACTGGTAATTGAAGACAGTTTAAAATGTAAATAAGCCTTTAAAAGGTATTGGGAAGGGGGAAAGGAACATCAGTCACTGCACAAGACCAAAATTCTGGTAACTTGACATCGCATCTTACAGACAGAATCAATCCAACAACATAATCCAGAAGCCACAAGCCCCACACATTATAAACTCCTTGCTCAGCACAGAAACAAGCCAGGCACACCATTATTTACCAGTTAGTTATTAGATATGTCCTAGGAAGAAAAGAACCTCTAAACATCTCCCTACATTAGTCTGGTTTAAAATTCTGCAAGTAGGCTGTTGGAGTTTGCTCCCTTTTTTTTTTCAAGAACTCATTCCCACCAGCTTTAGACCACTTTTCCTTGCTGACTTGCATCCACAAATCTGCAGCCTTGCCTTTCCATCTTTTTAATCAGAAGACTGAAGTAACCCAAGATGACTAGAGCGTGTACAAGTGCCATACACCAGCTGAACTTTTTCCAACAGACTCTCAAAAACAAAGACAATGACAAAAGTTTTCTTTCAGTCCCTGGTTTTCAAAATTCACACACTGCACGTTTGGCTTTGGAACTGCTTTGTTTTCATTAGGCACAGCCTAAAGGGCAGCAACCACTCCCATTGCACGGGCAGTGCCTCCAGGAGCGATGGCACAGTGGGTTTGGAGGCAGCACACAGGCAGAAGTGTCTCTGCCTATCCCTGTCCCTTCGTGGAGACTGGTCACACCATGGCCGGGTCACTGCTCCAGCCTGACCAGCTGGACACTCAGACCTCATTGTCCTTCTGCTCTTGCAAAATATACCCTATGGCCCCAAGAGCTCAGGGCCTCATCAGAAACTTGCTATCCAACACTCACTGGGCTCCACACACACCTCAAGTTATACAAAAGAAAATTCGCAAACAATGAAGGCAGAGATATATTCCCATCCACTACAACCATTACAACCACAGAACTGAAAGCTCAGCTCAAAACAAGGCTGAAGTCTGTACTTAATCCAAACACTCTCCACAAACACCCTGCAGAACACGCTGTGTGGAACAGCCCCACGGACGCGGGGCTGCGGCCGCGAATCCCGACGGATCCGGGGGCGGCTCTGCCCTTCGGCCGCACCGACCACCCTGCACGGACACGGTCAGACACGGCAGCACAGAGCTCTCCCCTGTGCCACAGCCACTCGCTGATCCCCTCAGACGCCAGCACTCCGGCTTTAAAAGCTTTCATTGCCAATTCCCCGGCTGAAACCCGAACTGCCTGGCAACAATGACTCTCTGTGTGCCTAAAATCCTATTATCGATCCTCCTACTTACCTTGGGCTGTGCTCGTCGGGGAAACGCAACTTTAGGGTCAATCTGAGGAAAAAGAAAGGGGAAATCAACAAGATAGCTTTGGTTGTCATTGCAGAGTATTTTGGTTTTAAATCATTGAATTATTAATCCCTCATTTCTCAGGCTTGTAGTTCAGCACACCGGGTCATCCAGAACCACTCTGGAACTGATGGGTCACAGACTGGGTTTGTCTGGGGAAGGAGATGGGAAGAGAGGAAGAAAACATCTCTTCTGCACACCTCTATCATCTTCTGGGAAACGATCCCCACTGGTGCTCGGGGAGCTCTGGATTAGTCTCTGGGTGCTGCCTCTACCACCAAAACTGCGTGTTAGGGATTATCTGCATGCTCTGGAGGTTGCACAGGAAGAGGGCCAGCATTCCTGACCAACATCTTAACTTGCTGGGTTTGACACCTGCACCTTCCCACGGTTGGGTTTGGGGTTACAGGTTCTTTTTCTGCTCTGTTTTGTCAACTGATGAGCAACACCACACTAAAAAGGAAAGTCAAAACCGAAGTCAAATTATTCACGTTTCAATTATTAAAACTAAAGTATCAGAAGGGCTAGATGCTCCTTCGTAACTACATGCCAAATTGATCTGGTTTGCCAGCTCTCCAAGAATATAAGTGAGTAATGGAGAACCAAAAAGGGGCATTTATGGGATAAGGTGGGAAGAGAGCAGGGGAAGACACAAACACCTGCAGGTTTTGTGTATGTGAATCATACAGGCACTTACACCAGAAGAAAACAAGTTCCTAGAAAAGGTTTTCCATGAAGGAGTTACGTCACCACAGACACAAAAAGGAAGGGGGGGAAAAAAAAAATCCTTGCTCTACCCCACATTCCCTTAAGATGGAGTTGACCCCCACTGTGCTGCATCCATTACAGAGTGTGCCCACTCTGCAATTCCCAAACGCTCCTTCTGCACTTTTACACACAACTTCCACACGGGTCATCTCTAAAAAGGGACTCCTCTCTCCCATGACAAAATGACTTAAAACCAAAAAGTCACCACTACAGATGCATGGCTGGATGTAAATAAACACGTTAACAACTGCCCAGTTTAAACTGCAATAAAATGCCTCTGTGCTGCTGGTTTCACCTCCAGCTCTCAGCAGCACCTGCATGCAGACATGTTCTACAGAATCTGGAAAGGATGTTTGGAAGTACTAAATCCTACCTGAACTGTGCAAGCTGGGACTGCTTTCAGTGTTGTCTCTGTAACTAACTGATGACACTAACATGTTAAGCATATTCAGAAATAGAGGCTTTCTTTCAGAGTTTGGGTTTGGCTTTTGTTGGGTTTTCTCCCCTCGAGCTAACCTTGACAAGGAAAAGGGAGACATTTCCCTTTGGTACTGTTATTCTGTGGTGATAAATATTCCTGGCACTGCTAAATAACCATGGGCCTCTCCTAAAAAGCAGCTTTACTCAATTAATTTGTCCAAATGGGAAATATCGCAAACATTTCATGTGCAACTGATAAACTGATTTGTCTCCATCAGATACAAATGTAGCATCTGTTTTAAGACACACCTGAGAAATGAGTGATTACATGCCACTTTATTGTTCAAAAAGCATAAAAAGTAAAATTATTTATCTAGAAAGCTAACCTTTTCATAGAGATTAACATTATCTACAAATATATTCAGCACTGACTAGGCATTTGTCTACTGGGGAAATACAACAGGTACGGATTTTCCACAGCGGTACCCAAAGGTGAAGGCAAATTTGCACATTCCTGTTTGTTTCAAGAGCACAGGTTTTCTCACCAAAGTATAACAGACCCACCAGAAGGACATCACTGCAAAGTCCCTTTGGTTAAAAGCAGGGAGAGCCATTAAACTCCAAAGCAACACATTCATTTTGAAGGTCAGTTCAAAGAGCATGAAGTCCTTTGCACCACAGCGACAGATTTTCTTAAAGAACTGAATTTTCCTTCCCCAAACCTTTCAAATAAACACCATCAGCCTTTGAAGACAAATACTAGCAATGGATGTGGCAAATCCATACCTTTTGCATAACCCTGTCAACTATTTAAACAACAACCAAAAAGAAAAAAAATTAAAAAAAAAAAAAAGAAAACAAAAAACAAAGTTCTACCAAAAAAAAATTAGTTAGTTAGGTACAATTCTACTTACTGTATCTACAAGTCCTCTAGGAAATGACTATAATACTATTTCTGATATGAATGGCCATTACCTAAACAAAGCTTTAAACGTAACTGTAAACAAGAGCGACGTTTCCATGCCAATACCCAACCGATCTGCCTCCTGTGCTGAACGTTGAAACAGAGTCAAATGCCTTGTAATACTGCACAACAGTTACTACAATACTCTACAAATACACGCCTGAAAGGACCTGCCTGGCTCTGTGTTTGTTTCTGATTCTAAGGGCAATTTCATATTTGGATTGATTCAATCATTATCACACAACCAAACTGAGGGAATTTGTCCTGGTGAAGCTCTTTGCCCCTCCCCCAGAGAAAAGCAAATTAATACATTGCAGGGACTAGACTAAGATACAGGAAAAAAGCTGGGGGAGGACCTAATTATAGTCAGAAATATGACAGGGTGTCCTCTCATGATTTATTTTTTTAAAAAACCCTCGTTGAAGATACTGTTTGCCTTTGTTCTTCTTATCTAAATTTATCTTTAAAAACACATAGAACATATAGCTGTACATGAAAAGTCTGGTGAGTTTAATCTCAGGAGCACGGTTGAATCAGTTATCTTACCATATCTGATTAAACCTAAAATCAAATTATTAAGGCATGTGAAAGCATGGGCTTCGTGCTCAGACAAGCCCAGCAGAATCTGTAGGTCGAATTAAAACACTAGATTCCACCTGCTTCTATGAGAGCTTTGGGCTTTTTGTTTCCATATAAATTGCATTTTTTAAAAATCATGCACTCATGTTTGCTCCCTGCTCCTCCTATTCTTCGTTTAACTATAATCTTGCACACAGGCACCCACGAGATGTTGCAGCACCGAGACAGGATTCCTCCTAACACCACGCTCAGGTTAAAATAAAACCTTTAAGCCCCAGAACACAGACTATAAAACCCAGTTACAGTAAGGAACACGCTCGATCCGTCCAGCAGAAGCTCTGCAGTTCCACCAGCACGAGCCTTCCCTTCCCAAAACACAACCCCCTCCGGAGCCAGCAGCACCAGAGCAGTGATGACCTCTACCAGTGTCCTTCCCCCCTCCCCTCCCAGGTCTGCCGAGGCTGAAACTACAACAAAGTAGGAGGCACAAAACTTCATCTTTTTGCATGGCCTTGATCACAGGGAGAAAACAGGGCCCGGAGCTGCACTCTCTGGATACCTTTTGTTTGACCCAATACCGAAAATGCCGTACTGGGGCAAGGGGAAACTCAGGGGTGGAATTTCTTTTATTTTTTTTTTTTAAGCAAATGGGATGTTCATTAAAAAAAAAAAAAATAGATCAGCTGAATCCCATGAGCATTTTTTTCCTTATGTTATGCACTGAAGATTGAGCACAGCAAAAAGCTCTGGAGAAACAACAACACATTAGGACTCGTGCTTCTCTACCACAGCCACTCTCCACCTCTCGCAGAGCCTCCCATAAATGAACGCGTGCGTTTCGTAAGGGCCCTGCCATCACAGGTGAGGGGACCTCTCCAAAAAATGACTTTGGGAAATGACACGAGCAGCAGCTTTCACGGTTTGACAGTAAGTCACTCCCACCTTGAAACGCGTGCACCAATATATAAATAATCAATCAAAAGAAGCACAAAGTTCCCTGCAGAAAGCATTCTGCAGCCCAACACCGAAAAAAAAAGTTGGATTTTACTCCTCAGCTTTTTCAATGTCACCGCTCAATAAAATATAAGGCCGGGGGAGGAGCCAGCGGTCGGTATGGGGGAATTCGGGCTTAGGAAAAAAAAAAAAAGAAAGTTGCCGCTTTTTGCAAGTTAAAGGCAGAGCCCAGAAAAAAATAGAAAGGAAAACCCCCAGCCATGCAAGGTCCCGGTTCAATGACAGCCTGACAGCGGCCCGAGCGGGGCTCGGTGCGCCCGGGTCGCGTCCCCGCCGTGCCGGGAAGGGCGGGCGGGAGCCCCACCACGACCTACCGTCTTGGAGTCCAGCTCGTGGTGCGGCTGAGCCAGGACTTTGTCTACACTCGCCGGATCCGCGAACGTAACGAACCCGAAGCCTCTGCGAGAGACAAAGAGCGAGGGGATGGGGGGGGAGGTGATGAGAATTAGAGGCGAGGGGAGAAGTCACAAAAATAAACCGCCGTGCCGTCCCCCCCGCTCCCTTCCCCGAAGCCCCCGGGTGCGGGGGGCGGGCGGGCGGCGGCGGCCGCGACCCCCAGCCCCGCTCCGGCTCCACCGGCCGCTTTGTTTCCTGCTCCGGACCGGAGGGATGCGGGCGGGGAGAGCCCTCCCGCAGCGCCCCGCGCGCGGGGTGGGATGCGGGGCTGGGATTTCGGGGTGGGATTTTGGGGGGTGCGGGTCCACCCGCCCCGACGGCAACTCGCGAAGTTTGTCAACCCGAGCGGGGTGGGCGGCGGTTTTACCTGGAGCGCTTGGTGGTGGGGTCCCGCATGACCATACACTCCCTAATTTCTCCGAATTTGCTAAAATAGTCTCTAAGGCTGTCTGCGGAGAAAGAGCAGAGAGGGAGAGGAGGGTCAGGGCTGGGGGGCGCGGGCAGGGCCCGGCGCGGCGGGACGCGGCCCACGCGGGGCGGGACGCGTGTGGGGAAGGGGCGGCGGGGGGGTTACCTGGTGAGGTTTGCCAGCTGAGGCCGCCGATGAACATCTTGCTGGAGGGAGAGAGCAGAGCGGAGTTGAGCGCCGGTGCGGGATCGGCCATTTTGACGGGGCAGCTCCCGGCGGGGCGGAGGGGCGCGGAGCGGAGCGGGGCGGGCCCGCCTCGCCGCCCCCCGCCGCCCCGCTCCGCGCCCCCGCCGCCCCGCCGACTTACCCGGGGTCGTGCTGCGCCTCTCCGGGGCTCCCCGAGGTAGCCTGGCTCCCGTCCGCCTCCATGGCCGCGCCGAGCGAGAGCCCCTGAGAGAACCCCCCCCCCCCGCCCAACCCGCCCCCCCCGGCCCGGCTCCGGCTCGGTTCGCTCCGCTTGCTGTGCCCCTTTTTTCCCTTCCCCCCTCCTCCTCCTCCTCCTCCTCCTCCTCCCTCCGCTACCGGAGGATCTCACTGGAGAGGCGCTGGGGCAGCAGCCAGATCCGTCACACGTGGGATCGGCTTAGCTCAGCGCCGCGCCGGCGCTCCCTCCCCCCCCGCCGCCATCCTCCCCTCCCCTCCCTCCATCCCGCCCCTCCCTCCCCTCCCTCCTCCCTCCCGGGGGCGGGGCCGCCGCCGGCGCGTGGCCCTGTGTGACGTCACCGTGACGTCACCGCGCCCTCTCCGCGCGCCGCCCGCCTGCGCCCCGCGCGTGTCCGGGACCCGTCGGTCCCTCACAGCTCGCCCGGCTCCCTGGGGCTGCTCCGCTCCCTCACACCCCGCTCCCTCACAGCCCGCCCGGCTCCCTGGGGCTGCTCCGCTCCCTCACACCCCGCTCCCTCACAGCCCGCCCGGCTCCCTGGGGCTGCTCCGCTCCCTCACACCCCGCTCCCTC